CCGGTGAAGGTCAGGAGACCGCAGCCGGCGAGGGTGTTGCTGTGAACTCCGCCAAAACTGGCGGCTCTGACGGAGTAATTTGAGGCGCCTCCGGGTGTGGTGCAGACTCACAGAGGCTGCTGTGCCGCCAGCCCGGGGCCGTGGGAGGGGCCCGTGTTCCAGGGCAGGCAGGGCCCAGGCCCCTGCACGGGGTGAGGACGGCCCTGCACGCTGCCTCCTCTGTCCCTGTGCGCTCCAGGCGCTCCAGGGGGACTTCCTGGTGGAGGAAGACAACACTCAGGAGTGGACATTCGCATTTCACGGCTTCGACGACAGTGGCCAGGCCACCCCGGGGAATGTCCTCCCTGCCTGCAGTCTAGGAGACAGAGGCAGGCTCAGCCGCCCTGCGGGGAGGGAGGGGCGGCCGGGACCTTTGGGGGGGGGGCAGGCGGGGAGGGGCCTGGGGCCCCTGCACTCTCCTCTGCCGGGCCGTGCGTGCAGGACACGTTTGGCTTAAAAAGCAAAATTTTGGCAGTTTGATTGCTAAGTCTTTTGAACACAGAGTCAGTTTCAACTTTAAAGTGTCCCAGGGATAGGGTCCCCAGGCCGCCTCGTGCACAGACAGGGCTACACTCAGGGGAACAAAAAGGCCACTGGGACAAGCTTTGTGGGCGTCCCCGGGTCTGTGTGGGAGGCTGTGTGAATCAGGCAGGCAGCCTGGAGGCAGCGGACGGCCACCCGCCCATCCGCCTGTGCCGGTGACCTGATGGCCACCCTCAGGACGTGTCCAGCCTGACGCGCACCATCTGTGAAGCCGTAGGTGCCTCCGCCAGCCACTCCTCGGGCAGCAGCAAGGCCCTTCGCGTGAAGCTGACCGTCAGCCCCAAGTCCTCCAGCGAGAGAAAGGAGTCTTCCCTCAGGCCAAGGTGAGGGGCTCCCCTGCTCGGACGCCCCAGAGACCCTGCTTTAGATGGCAGCCCACCTGCTCCCTGCAGCAGCCTGTCCCGCACACCCCGTCTCCACGGTGATGACCGCTCACCGCCTGACCCTCTGGCTTCCCGTCAGCTCCGTGTACCGTCAGTGCCCCATCCGCACCCCGGGCCGACTGTCTGTTCAGTAAGTGATGAATGAGAGTCAGTGAGTAAGTGACTGAACGAGCGGATGAATGAGTGAGTGAATGAATGAGTGAGTGAATTAGTGACTGAGTGAGGGAATGAGTCAGTGAGTGAGTGAATGAATGAATGAGTCAGTGGTGAATGAGTGAATGAGTGGATGAATGAGTGAGTGAATGAATTAGTGACTGAGTGAGGGAATGACTGAGTGAATGAGTGAATGAGTATATGAGTGAGGGAATGAGTGAATGAGTAAATAGGGAGGGATTGAGGGAGTGATGAATGTGTGAATCAGTGAATGAATGAGCAAATGAATGAGTCAATGAGTGAGTCAACGAGTGAGCGAGTCAACGAGCGAGCGAAGGCGTGCTCTACCCCCGCGTGCAGAACGGAAGCCCACTCAGGGCAGGACGGAGGGCGGGCTCCCCGAGGACCCCCGCGGGGCTGACAAGGGGCTGCCCGACGCATCAGGTGAGGGGCTGGGGTCTGGCTCTGCCCTCGGGGTCGTCCTCTGCGGGAGCAGCGCCCCCCCCCCGTAGGCCTGAAGGCTGTCCCCTCCGGACAGGGCCACCCGGTCAGGCATCCGGGTGCAGAGGGTGGGGTGCTGGCCGAGGCGCCCGGGCACCACCGCCGTCAGGTGAGGGCGCTGTCTGGGGGCCCCTCCGGCGGCTGGCGCTCTGCTGGGGCTGAACGCACTGGGCACTCGCAAGGTGAGCGAGGCTAGAAGGGCACCGGTGGCTTGGCCTCGGAGCCTCCCCCTGACCTGCTCCGTGCCCGGGGGCCCCACGTGGTGTCGGGGTGACGGGCTGTACGGAGGCCCCGCAGCGGTGGCCTGACCCCGGCCGCAGCCTCTAACGGGGAGGACGCCGGAGCCCCCGTGACTTCCCCACGGCCTTCCCGGTGGAGCTGGGCCTGGGGCCGCCCGCGGCCTGGCTGTCCTCGCCCGGGGGCCTCTCATCCCCACGGCGCACGCGGGAGCCCCCACCCCTGCTATGCGGAGGAGCCACTGCCCGGACCTGGCTGGAGTCGAGAACCATACGCCCAGGTTCGGACCTGGTAGGTGCTGGAGACCCGTGCCCAGGCCGCGAGGCCGCGTGTGTGGACGCCTCAGGGACGGGAGCCCCTCCCCGCGAGGGTCCCGGGGCCCCTGCGGCGAGGCACACGGCAGCCCCGCATCCAGATGCGGGCGTCCCCTCCAGGTGCGTGGAGGGGTCGCCGCAGAGGCTCTCCCGGTGTCCCGCGTCCCGGGAGCCAGACGGGCCGTCAGCTTCCTCGCCCTCGAACGGCCTCCGCACGGTCCGAGTGTCGTCCGGGTGAGTTCAGCCCCCCCCCGGGCTCACCCCCCCCGCCCCCACACCTCCCCCGGGCTCACCCCCGCCCCGGGCTCACCTGGTGTCAGTTTCTCTTGTTCTTCCTCCTGTTCTGTTCACAGTTTCCCGGTGATGGAGACACTGCAGACACGGCTGTGCAGACGGTCCCTCCCTCCTGCCCTCTGAGCCACACAGGGGGCCCGGGGCCACCTGCAGAGCCCGGGCAGGCGGGTGGGGTACCGGGGGGGGCCCGGGGTCACCTGCAGAGCCCGGGTGGTCGGGTGGGGTCCCGGGGGGGTCTGGGGCCACCTGCAGAGCCCGGGTGGGCGGGTGGGGCCGCGGGGGG